CGTAGAAGTTAAAAATAACAAAATGTTATTTAATTCAAGGGATTTAATTATTATCATTGCTCTTTTGATATCCAACAGAGACATTAAGCAATTAATTTCTATGTTAACAATTTATTTTATTAATATTGCAACATTGCTATAGTACTTATAACTAGATAATTTCACTCGCATGGGAATTTTAAATTCGAATGGTCTGCATCCTATATTGAAAATTGAAATTATAATTTGTTCAATTAATATATCTACGAATATAAATGTGTCTGGAGCGTCGGGCGAGATTCGTTAAGCTTATAATTGACTGAAGATAAAAGAAAAACAACAGAAACTTCGTTCTTATTCATGATTCCACTCTTGCCTGCTGAGATAACACAGGAATATCGTGGAAGTGTCCTCGTTCCCGTTAGTTTCCCATCGGCATCGTGCTGACGTACTACGCTGGATGCGTCTTCGAATCGTCAAACATTTGCACTTGCCATATCCATCGAGTACAGCTTGTCCCGCGAGACGAACGGTGTGTAATGCGGTATGCATACGTGCATTACACATACGGGGTATGCGTTCTGCATACAAGCTGTACTTCGCGAGAGAGCGTAACATCGCGCGTAGAGAGAGTGAGAGAGAGCGAGAGAGAGAGAGAGAGAGAGAGAGAGAGAGAGAGAGAGGGAGGGAGGGAGGGGGGAGAGAGAGAGAGAGAGCGCGCACATTACGCGCACGACTCTTTCCGCACCCTAATGCATCCGATATCCGCTTCCCCAAAGTCGGTCAAGGCTCCTTCAGAAGATGCATTTCCACTCGAAACTTCCTTCCCGCGTTTGCGCTCGAAAAGACGACCACCGGCACCGCACGTCCGAATAGCCAACGTTTGCTCGTCGGTGAGGCCGCAGGTCGATGCGGGAAGGTTGAGAGGTTCAGGGGAGAGGAAGGGAGAAATGGAGGAGGAGGAATGATTTATATCCCTCGGGCGCGAAGATCTTACCTCGGGTGTTAGTTCCGCCGGTTGAACATCCAGATGGAAAGCGGGTGGGCACATGGGGCGGTTGCCAAGGAAGGGTTGCCGCGAAGTTCTTATCGGTGTGTATATAATTTTCGGTGGGGCTCGCAGTTAGTAGGTAACGCCGCGGCCGCTCTTTGCCCTCGGCGTGGAACTTGCTGCGGTGGGATACTTACGACCGACGTTTACGCTTGCGATGCAACACATTGTTCCCCCAAGGCACATTAGGTTGGATTTCCCAGCGTCGAGTGGTTAGCTGCGGTTTAGCGATTTTTGCGAGGGTCGCCGGTATTGGTTCGTTCGACTTCCCGGGCGAGTAACTTGACACGCACTAGGCTTTAGTATCGCATTTCACCAAGAAACCTTACTAGAGCAGTAAAGTAGGACAAGTGTCTCAGCTGAGTTTTTAAATTATTCATTATAGGGATAAAAATATAAATAAAGAGGTATAAAACACTCGGCTTATATATTCAGTTTACAATTGTGATTGTGATATAAAATCCTTTGAACGTTTTATAATTTTTTATTACTTTTTGTATTTATTAGTTTTATAGAGAAAATATATTAATACAGGGTGTGTTCGTAATTTAAATATCAAAACTTTGAGAGCGTGTAGAAGATCGATAAAGTAAGAAAAGAATCTTGTAGAGAGACGCTCGTCTTTGCTTCGTTTTGGAGAAAATCGCAAAAAAGACAAAACATAGTTGCTTCCTTCTTGGACGTAAAGAAGTAATGTTTTGGACATTTCGATCACCTGATCTGACATCACTGGACTTCTTTGTATGGAGAGTCCTAAAGTAGGAAGTTTATTCATTGTCAATCAACTCAAAAGAACAATTGAGAAATAAAATCGAAGCTGTAGTGCACTAAATATCACCAGATTATTGTTTGGCTGCAACACGAGCTGTCTGTACTGATGACATTCCTGCAAGAGGCCAACATTTTAAACAATATCTACATTAAGCAAGTGAATAAATACAGCATGAATAAATAATTTTAAAAAGTACAAAAACGAAAACTACGTTTCGTCTTTTTTTGTGATTTTCTGAAAACGAAGCAAAAACGAGCATATCTTTACAAGACCTTTGTTCTTAGTTTATCGATTCTCTACACGCTCCTGAAGTTTTGACATCTAAATTCCGAACACCCTATATAAACATAGAATAGATTGAACGGAAAAAAAAACTGATGTTGCTTGTTCATTCTTTCGTCTTTTTCATTGCCTTCGGGATCCGACGCTGTCGTTCTCGTTATCTTGTTATAGGATGACACAGATTTTTGCAATGGGTCCTGTCGGATAAGCGGACTCATCGTAATTAGGTAAAGCGGTCCTTGCTCTGCACTCAACAGTCACAACAAACTGTTATCGGTAAGTTGCTCGGCAGTTTACTTTCGCCAGTGACCGAACCACTTCTATGAGTTTGTTTAAAAACAACGCCAGCCGTTGCGGTGTTATCGTAAGTTCTTCGCTTAGAACGTCCATCGCACAGTGAGGTATTTTCGTAAAAACTTTCTAAAAAACGTGACTAACAGTCAAAATATGAAGTTGCAAATTTTACGTTTTTAAAGTTGCGGATTTGCGTTTTTATCAAGTTTTAACTAGTATGTTATGTATTATATTATACTATTTAATAATGAATTTTAATATATCTGTAAGATATTATTTGCACAAGTTATTTGAGTTTAACTGGTTTACAAAAAAAAATACTTTATTACTTAAGAAAAATATTTTATTTCTCGAAAAGAGATATATTTCTGTGTATTTTCCAACAATTTGTATAAGATTATATTGACTTTTAATTATAGCTGAAAAATATTTTGTATTTGGATCTTTTATATGACAATATTAACATTAATTTTGACGCAATGCATGGCCGGTATATTCATAGTCTTTATTTAAGAAAGTTTTTATATTTAAAATCGCGCGCGTTTTAAATTTATATTTAAGAATGATATATGAATTAGTTAGAAATCCATATTAATATTATAACATTTTTTAATTAGAATTACTTAAAACAGTTCTGAAAATAGGGACTGTGAATATTGATCCGTATACGTATATATTGTATACAGTCAAACTCTTATCACCATTAGGTACATTATTTTAATCCTACATCTTTACTTCATACATACCATATTTTTTGCTATAATTGATCGTTTTTAGATATTTTAGAGTTTTCAGATTTTTAGAGGATTATATTCATAGATCCTCTATATATCATTTTTTTTACGCGAATCTTTTTCTGCGTACAATTTAGCGTCTAGAAAATATATAATGCGACACTCATATTACATTTATTGCTAATTTTAAGAGAATAACGTTCTATACAGTTTTTGCTATTATTTCTTGCCATCGATTTAAAGTACTTTCAAAAGTACAATATTGAAAACATGTATTGCATTTTTTTTCTTTATACCTTTGAACAAAAATTATGTTTTTGACCATGTTTTTTTGAAATGGCCCCAATGTATGCCGTGGTAATCTCCCTATTTATAGAAGAGAGCGAAATATCCCCAGTTTAAACGCACCCTCGCTGGCTTTCTTGACTTTCCTCGCAAATACGCGCGAAGGATATAATCCGATTACACGTTTTGATACGTTCAGAGATGGTGTAGAACAACGTGTGCGTGCTTGACTGCATTTTGCCAGGTGTATTTTCCTGCCGTTTGCTTTAGTCTCGCGTTCTAGTCACAGAAACGATTCTTTTGGATTTTAAAGCTAATCATTTTATCGAATTTATAGCAGCTACACAGCTAAACAACAAAATGTTGAATTATAGTTTCTCTTTTATAATGTGTATCTAATTTAAAAAAAAAAGTTATCTTTGATTTAATTATTCCGTTAAATAGGATGCGTTTTTCTTGGGAATTTATCTGCTGTCAATAAACGACAAATTTTGCATATATTCCGATTGTATTTATAAACGACTCACTTGATTTGGCAAAATAATTTAGCTATGTTCTCGAAGCGTTAGTTCGTCGCCAGGGACTAATATAAGATTCGCTGTTATGCAGCGGGGCTTCATCTCGCTACGGGCCGCTTTATTCTTCTCACGTAACCCTATGAAATTATTCACGCTGGCCAGCGACACATTGTACCTCGCGGTTCCGGAAGAATAAGTAGCGAACATATATAAAACGCGCCACAACGAAAGAGGGCTGCTCCTTCGCTTTCTTAACTCGAACATGTTACGACAAGAACACACGGTATTCGGCTCACGATTATTTTCTATGTCATGTTTTCAGCAACTTTGCTGCTTTCTAGGAGAATGATAATTCGGTAATAACTTACGTCTTCGCAGCAGAGCTTGTATAGTTATCGTCGCATATGTATTATCGCTTTGTTTTATTACATATATTATCGAGATTGATATTATATATATGTAGGCCGATAGTTAGAGTCTGTTATATTTGAGATCATTTTAAGTACAATTTTAAGGTGTCATAAATCAATTACATATAGCTGTACTAGTATACTATTAAGACGCTATTTAAGATGGTCTCGAAAAATAAGAACTATGAATATTGGCCTTGTGAAAAGAAGATATACATCAAATATATTGTACCTATTAATTAAAAAACATCTAATTCTCTTTTCTAATTTTAAAACCAAAATTTCTACGTCATTGTTCAGAATTATTCTTGTCTACATCTTCGAAATCAAAATGTAAACTTTTTCTTTCCAAAATGATATCCTCGCCGAAAGGACGATCTGTTAAAGTACGTAAATATTTAGCTAGATAAAAAATCTGAAAATAATTTTGGGAAAATAATTACGTAGGATCCCAAGCTGGTTGTTAAAACGTCAAAATATTCCGCAACATTGTTCATTGCGCTTGTGAACATCCTATATATAATTATTTTAATGGTTCAATTATTTTTAGATTTGTATCCAATGTAATTAAAATAAATTTTTAGGTACTTTAGCAAAATCGTTCTTTCCATACAGTGCCCGCGTAGAACAACGTGAGCGATGATCGATCAGCTGTAAGTTCATTTTTCCTTGTAGCTGGGATGCCGGCCATGGAATCTCAGTCTGACGAGCGTGATCATCTTGGCGCTGTCGAACATGCTGCTGACATTTCTGCTGTTGCAATCGGAGACTTGTGCGCCAGAAGCGATCCCCCGGGAAGTGGATATGAGCGCCGTCACCGAATGGAATCTAGGAACTCTCGTCAAGCACGAGCAACAATCAGAATGCATCACGCAGGATTACCAGCCCACGTCACCTGACGTTAACAGCCTCAAGCTGGACATTAAGCTCGGTAGATGGGACGCCCGGCGGATATTCCGGATGTTCGACTCGGCGCTGGTCGGCAGCAGGTTCACGGAGCTTTCGCAGACGTATCGGGTGTGTCTGGCTACCCAGAGCTCCGTGGAAAAATTACACTCACTGGTACAAGTCGCCTTGCACTGGACCGGTCCGATGTCCGTAGCGCTCTATGCTGCCGGTGATGAAGAATTCGAGGTACTGCAGCTTTATCTGGTGTACCTGAGGAAGTGCTACGAATCTATCAGAGAGAGAGTGCTCTTCTCTCTGGCCGTGCCGAAAATGCGAACACCCAAGAAGCAGCCGCGCGGTTTCGAACTGCCGGACAGTATCGATTGTGCCAAACCGGAAGCCACCCTCAACGAGTTTATGAGCCGCGTGCCCAATGAGCAGACCAATTGGCGAATACGGAATGTGTATCCGCAGAATCACATGCGGAACTTGGCGCGTAAAAACTGCCAGACGGACTACGTGTTTTTAACGGACGTCGATATCGTTCCGAGCTTCAATCTGACGGTCGTTCTCGACGAGTTCCTTAGGAACGACAACTGTGATAAGTGCGCCTACGTAATACCCACGTACGAGTTGGACACGCGCGTGAGGTTTCCTCCAAATAAGACGGAACTGATTAGGCTCGCTAGAAAAGGCTTGGCCAGGCCGTTTCACCAGAAAGTCTTTATACATAATCAATTTGCCACGAATTTTACAAGGTAAATAACACTCTTTATATTAAATATTATAATTATTATACGTTATTTAATATTATATTAGCCCTTTATAAATTTCTTGAAAATATGTTTGCTATAATTTATTGGAAACAATTAAAATATTAATCAATTTAGTACCCATTAATTGAAATTAATTAAACGTTCAACGTGACAGTCTATGAATTCATAATGGTTTTTTTGCCAGCAAGTTGCATTATTTGTACTTCAGTAATAATTTGTTAATAATAATTTTACCATTGTTTAGAGATTGTATTTTTAGTTAATAATAATTATATGTATATGGCATATAATATATACATATATAATTTTGTAAAATGTAAAATAATCTTGTGCATATGGCATAAATATTAGTCTTTTTATTTTATAGGTGGCTGGGGGACGCGTCACCGAATCATGTACATCACGAAAATGTGAAGACGGGTAAGGTGTACATTAGTCATGACGTGACGAATTTCGAATTCCTTTACGAGCCATTTTACGTAGCGAAGGATATCGTACCGCCCCACGATGAGAGGTTTATGGGATACGGATATACAAGGAATACTCAGGTACGCGACATTTCCTAAGATAACGTAGTTCCTTTTTTTCTAGTAGCACACTCACTATCTTCGTGACGAATACGTTAGTGATGATATGAATCGAAAATTCAATTTTGTCCTTGAGTATAAGATAACATAAAATGATACAATACGTAAGTTTACATTCGATTTGAGTAAGTTGATGAATACGGTTCTTTTCTTTAATGTATAAAAATATTCGTATTGGGAAGATAAGCGCAATGCATGTACCAATATATACCGTAAAAAAAAAAAAAGAAAACTTATGACTATATTATTTATGAAATGTATTTAATCTATTAGCAGCGATATATCGATAGAACAGTTTGAATTAAAAATTACCACTTTCGCGGTAATGTTGTCATCAATATTCTTCCCTGTAGAAAAGCGTAAATGAATGATAAAGAACATAAATGGCTCAGATCCGAATGTATCTATGATAATTGCACAGGTGTACATCGTATATGAGCGTGTATTTCATCAAGCACGACCGGTTTATTCTGCAACGTCGGGGAGATAAAAAGTGTTACATTGAAAATTAATATACCTTTCGGAGTATTAGTAGGATTAACGGATAAATGGCAATAATGGAACCGGCAGCTACTGGCCATTACTACGTTTCTACGCTTCTCTGTAAATAGTCAGCATAAATTACACTAAAAGATGTACATTTTGGGATATTAACGATAAAAGCGGAATACCCTGCGTACATATATTCCCGTTTCATCAACCGAGAGAGAAAGAGAGAGAGAGAGAGAGAGAGAGAGTGAGAGAGAGAGAGAGAGAGAGAGAGAGAGAGAGAGAGAGAGAGAGAGAGATGTATTCCGGATTACGACATTTCGCTAACTCGACGAGGCGGCAAACTGTGCTACGGGAAAATCATCAATGCGGATGTAGCAGCTATAAAGTTACATATGCCAACGAGGGAGTATTAGCGAGATCATGACGCGCGAGCCAGGAAAAACGGCTAAAAAGGATCTCAACATGTGGCGAGTAGCAAACTAGAATGAGCGTATCCCATTGCGCACGCCGCGCGGGACATTAATTGAATTATATATTATCATTGCCGCGGCGTTATCGGACGATGGAGGCTCGTTTTGCGGAACTGACATTATTCAATTTAAACTTGATGCATCTCTGGCCGTGTAATCAAACGTTTGCATATCGGGGCGGCACGGTGTCGCGTGAACCGCAAATTGCGTTTGCTAACGTACTTTTCAGGCACGTCATCTTCACGCGAATTACGAAGACTCGCAAATTTCTTAGATCGATAACGCCGAACTTTGAAACTTTATTACGTATCTCGTAGCGAATCACGTAGCTTCGATATCTTGAAACGAGGAAAATTTATCTCATTAAAAATGAAAACGGCAAAATCATATTTATATACATGAGAAGAACGGTTTCGATGAAGTATTAAAAATTTAACTAGGTACGGATTTGCAAATATGGTAGTTTTGTTGTAATCATCAAAACTATTATATGTATAATAGGTTGTTCAAGTTGATTGCTAGAATGTTAGAAGTTTTTGCAACATTGTTTATGATGCTTGATTTTCCCACACAATTATTTCATTGGTCGAATAAAATTATTTTCAAACTTGTATCTATCTACATTTCAAGATTTAAAATTGCTTTTTTTTCGTATATTGTATGTTCCAATTTCTATTTTCCGAAATCTAATCGTAATGTTTTTTCTATCATTTATTTAAGCAACTCAGTTATTTAAACGACTCTATGAGAGAAAGAGGTCGCGGTGACTAAAATTGCAACGATCCTTAAAATGTTATTTGTGCCGAAAACCACAAAACAAATGCGAGAACCTTCCCGCTTCCAGTCCATATATATACCGAGCATTGTATTCCTCTGAACGTATAAATGTTCCTTCGTGGCACACGGATCCCACATTGTTTTGACAAGAAAGTACGACAGTACCGACCGCTTCCGACTCTACGACGGAAATAACGAAATTCCATCGCACGGCAAAAATCCAAGCGCGACGAACGTGCACAGTTGCAATTCGTAAAACGAACACGCGAAGTATACATGCAGCAACAATAAAACAGGCGTAAAATCTACGTATGTATGATATCGGCACAACTGCATTTGTACAAGGAAATTTTATGATCTGTGACACATTTACCGATTTTTCTGATCTTCCCCAGACAAGATAGTTAATACTATATATATTCACCGTTAAGTGCACTGAGAATCTCGTTTGGTTGATTCAATTAAACTTTTGTTTGAGCAATATGGACAATAAAACAAATCCTTCCAAAAAAATAAAAAAAAGTTTTGTTATTGTAACATTTCATTTATTTCTAATAACACATAAGTGTTATTACTACATAAATAGTAAACAAAGTTAAGAAAATAATTATATTCATTATCATTGCCCTTACTCAATAAAAATGTTTATTTTGTTTTTCATTTACATATGTCTTGATATTGTACTGTATTAATACCTAAAATTATCATAAATTATAATTTTTTCATGTTTGAGATAATTATACATGTAAGATTACTAATATTGTACTAGTAATAATCTTAAAAATAGAGCTCTTAATCATAATTATTTGTTAAGGGATTTAATATTTAATAATTATTTTACTCTACAATTATAATTATAAATACCAAATACCTTTTTTCAGTACACTATGTTTGAAATTGTTACCACCTTATAATTCTATTTAATGTTTATTTGATTGTTTATTTTTCTATAATGGTTACCGGCGATCTATACAACATATATTTATATGTTAAATAAAAAGTTTAGTGTCAGTCATCGCGATGATCATCATAGTGAATGTGTTGAATCATATTATTCACAACCAATAAGAAAATGCCTTTAACAGTCGAGCTGGATCTTAGGTGCTAATTATAATTGCGTGTGAATTTATATATTACGTATGTAGTCTTTTAAACCGTAATATTATTCAATAGCATAAGTGAAAAGTCGTTTATTAAATATTACAGAAAAATGTATACATACGCATCGAATAATATTAAAGTGTTATATGTATCGTGGATAGGATGTCGATGCTATCAGTCGTGTGAGATTCTTGTTGTGATAGTGGTGATGTTGGTGGCAGCGGTGGTGATGCGGCTAGCATTACACGCTGGCGGATATCGGAAGTACGTACGAGTACGTTGGTACTCGCGTCTCTCCTCTGCGGTTCCTGTCGCATGTCTATTCCCCGTGAAGGAATGAGAATGAGTATCTGTTTACTCTCTCTTTACCATCTCTATAGTCAGTTACCAAAGACTCACTTCTGTTGTATACTGAGAGAAAGGTGTTTGGTATTTGTGACTATAATCGCATGGTAAAATAATTATAGCTAGGAGCACCATTTTTATAATTATTACTTTTATTATTGTGTAATGATAATAATAATTATTATATTTATAGGTCTATACAAAAAAATAAGTTGGCATCGAAAATAACTATAAATGGGACACTTTGTCGCTCTGATTATGTTGAGTTGCATATAAATAATACATTTCACTGCAATAATAGTAATTATTGAGTATTGGAACATTTATATTATCGGTTTATTCATATATATTAGTGACTATACGGTAAAATAATTATGGTTATAGGAGCTCTATTTTTATAAGTATCACTGCTATAATGTTAATATATGTATATACATATATAATAATCATATTTATAATTCTCCAAAAAATATAGTTAACACGGAAAATGATTATAAATTACAGTTAAATTGTGGTAGTTGCAACCATTTTTTTCTCTCAATATACGCAACGCTCAAGCTTAGTTCTTTCCTCGTTCTTTCAGGAACGCAATGTGTGACCGCATTCCTCACATGCTTTAAAAATTCTTGTCCTCTGCTATTTTTTCTCATTTTTATTAAAAAGTTGTTTATATACGATTAAATTCTTTAATATATTTCATTTAACTGTATACGTCTGAATATTGTATTGTTTCCAAAACGTGACCGATTCGATCAATTTCAATATTCGGTGTAAATTTACAACCGCGGTTGACGTCTTTTCTGTTGTTACCTTGTACATAGACATGAGCCCCTCGTGAGAATGCATAGCCGCGCCATCGGGCTAATTTTATTTTACGTTAATTAATCTTCGGCTGTTTACGTACACAATACACGAGGACAATACGGTATACGCCATAATTACGATGCAATTACGTTGGTTTTCCGACTCGCTTCGATTGCCCGGTAAAATGAGCATGTTAATTGCCGATCGATTCGTTAATTCTCCATGCCGATCCCCGTGTAGCCTTTGTCCAGCCGCGAGCGGGAGCTTAACGTTCCCCTCCTTCCTCCCCCCCTCATACAACCTTCAATTACCCATCGATGTACCGAGTACCGAGCGACTGTCGACGTGGCCAATATAAAGGATTTGGCTCCTGACGATGTATGGCACGTGCTGGTCCCGCTCGCTCGCGACTCTACATTGGCGATCGATTCTGTCATCGTCGATTCGACACGCCATCCAGCGTAGTCGGACCTGGCGGGATTCTTTATTGTCGTGTTTATCGAGTGCGCCGATCGCGCCGGCACGAACCGCCCCGGCTTGATATCTCATCAGACTGGCGTTATCGGATTGATTTCGACACCCGGGGCTGGCGCACCGCGATAAGCGAGATAAGCCTGGCGTGGAAGGCGTCAAAGTGTAGAGGAACAGAAATAAAAGTCGGGAAATGAGCACATTTCGCGATGTATTTTTAAAGCGTATGTTTCGAATTGTAATCAATTTGAATTGTGATTTTTGTAAAATTTGATAATTTGAGGGTCTTTTTTATGCAAAAATTAGAGGAGAAATTGATATTATACCTACGTATTATAATAGTTTGAGGAAAGATGCAATAGAATGACGGTGATTCTATTCAAGTAGAACTTAAACTTGTTAGGATATCAAAATGGCGTCAAAATAGTTCCAAAATCATTTTAACTTTCACATGACGTCGAAATAAAGTCACTTTGAATTTCTCATGACTTGGTACCGGTA